TTATTCCTATTAGATGTTTTACTTGTGGAAAGGTAATATTATGTTAATGGAAATAAATTAGGTAGTTGGTCATTTGTGGAATGATTATGTTTAATTATTATAAGATGGTGTATCAACAGGAGAAGCATTAGATAGATTAGGTTTAGAGAGATATTGTTGTAGAAGAATGATATTAACACATGTAGATTTAATAGATAAATTGCTTAATTATAATAGTATTTGTATTGAATAATTATTTAGTTTACAAAACACTGTGAGGCTCTGAATTTTATAAATAAAATTTTAGTTCATTATTTATATATATTATATATATATATTCCTTTAATTATTTATCTAATTTTGATATCATAATTTAGTTTCATAAATATACACCTTTAATAATAGAGTTGGTATATTTGCTACCTTTTGTAATCTTTATTTATGAATAATTTATAGTGAAGATTGTTTAAGTAATTCCTCAAATGCCCTTTCAGACTCTAAATGCAAGTCTATGCTTGTAATGTATTTTAAACTTTCACCAAAATGAGAATCACTTAATGTTAGCATAAAATATATGATTCCTTCTGGATTAAGTAATGATTTAGCTATTTGAAGAGCCTCTTATTATTGATGAAGTATAGGGAAAGATGAAGAAAAGACAATGGCATCAAATTTTCCATGAATTTCAGGTTTCATTTAGTAGAAATCCAATTCAAGTATTTTCACTTAAGGTTTGTCTTTAAATAATTGGACTGCTTTGCTTAAGTAAGTATGATCTATATCAATTGCAGTAATCTCACACTCATGAGGAAACTAATTAATAACTTTATGTAGAGGAACACCAGTGCCAACTCCAACATCTAATATTCTCTTCTATTTTCCAGTAATTCTTTCACTAAGCTTTTCATATGTTAGTGAAGTAATTGGATGAGAAATGAATGTGTCATACAGAGTAGTATTTGAGAAATCTAATACCTCTTTTACTGTTTAAAACACTGCTTAAAATGATTATCTGGCAAATGAATAAATCATATTATATAAATAATGCATTTCAAAAATAAATTACTACAATTTATAAACTATAATAATAATAGACATTTATTAATATATAAATTATCAATAAAAACTTGTTTTAACTTTAATATATTATACATAATTTTATGAAAAAATTGCTTATATTGATTGCATCACTTAGTTATGCTTTCACTTATACTACAACTTGTATAGGAATAACTTAAACTGCATGTACAACTGCTGCAGGGTATTGCTTTTGGACTGGTACTGCTTGTTAATTGGCAGAATGTCACAAAGTTACTGATGTAAGGGCTTGTAGATCATCTACTCCTGCTGGATTTCTAAAAAGTTCAACTAAATGTACAGAGATAACAAGTAATGATCCCAATTTTCTGAATTAATGTATGGAACATGATTAAACTACTATGATGTATGCTTATGTTAGATTTCCTTAAGATATTACTTAATTATATTCAAGCAAAACAACAAGTGGCTATTTAGTTACAACAATAATGACTGCAAAATATACCTCATAATATAAATATGAAATATTAACAGTAAACATTTTGACAGCCTCTACAACAGAATTATTGAATATTATGAATGCCTATGTCTAGATGTAGTATGATTTAGTTGATCCAGAGATTCACCCTTAATATTTAGAGAAAGCTATTTATGAATCTATGTAAGCAATTAGAGATGATGTCACTTTGACTCTTACTGGTACTACAAATAAAAGATAGGATTATTACACTGTCTTATGGAGAATGACAGATGCATACTTTCTAAAATTAAGATCATATCAACCTTTCTACATATCAAATAAATACTTAATTAATTTTGGATTTTCACATTTCAATCGATTTTCTGTTACATTGTCATCATAATTTCAATCTACTAAAGTTTATTGGACTTCTTATAATGATAATGGATATTTAGAATTGCTTGTAATTCCTGCTGAATAATTTGGAATTCTTAATTCATTCTCAGATGTTATAATAATTAGACCCTCAAATTTAGATGGCAGTGATGCAACATTAAGTTATACTATATAATGGTCTTGGACTTTTACAGGTACGTAACCATCTGGCAGTAGTAACATATATACATTTGATAAGATTGAGATGAATGCTTTCACATCTTTAGGAACAGCAAGTTGTAATACATCATCAAAAATATGCTCTAAAGCTTTTACAAATTAATCAACTACAAAAGCCTATGTAATTGGTGATTCTGCAGTTGCATCATAAACAAATACAGGCAGATATTATACAAGATGTAGATTAGGACGTTTTAATTGGAATGGATCTACAAATACTTGTAATCCTTGAAAATTAACAATAAATTTCTATCTAATTTATCATTTTAATTAATTTTACATATTCTCATAGATTTTGCTATATTTTAGATATATCAAAATAATAAATAATTATATTTCTATAACAAATATTAAGAATCTATTAAAAATAATATTTGTTTAATGTTTTTTCCTTTATCATTTAATTATAAAAATATTAATTTCTATATAAATTTGTTTGAGACATGGTTATTTATTAAAATATTTATATTAATTTGATTTAAAGGATGATAAACTTTTCTATTTGATTTCTAATTATTTATTGAATAAATTTAAATTTTGATTATATTGTATTGATATTATTATGATTTCTTCTAGAATAATATATATTATCTTTTGATTATTTGGATGTTTAAGAAATTTCTAAAATATTAAAATTTTTACTTGATATTTCGTTTAAACGAATGATAAAAACAATTAATTATACTCTTACATTAAATTCAACATAACAATATTAAATATAATTAATTAAATGATATGTCTTTCTGAAAGGCAATTATAGAAAATCACAATTCATTCAAATAGACCATTCATTCAACTTCCATTAATATCTAAATCAAATGAAACACTTGTAATCATTCTTTAAATTAAGACTTAAGCGATTAAATAATAAAGCTATGTTATCTGAAAGAAATAAAAATTAAACAACAAACTAATCATCTGAAAAAGATGTATATTGTCTTAAATTACCTAAAATACATCAAAAGACTCCAGAAAAAATAGATACTCATTATAAATTAACACATTCTTAAGTATAATCATAAAAAATGTAAATTATTTACTTATTTTGAGACTCTAAAATGATCAATCATTTGATAATTTAAAAAAATATAATAAATAAATAAAAGATATTTAATAAAGACATAATCGATTTCTTAACAAAATAGAAGAGTTATATATGATTACCAAATAGCCATAATGAAAACTGTTTTCGTTCTAATTTTGATTAATTAATTGAAAACTTATAAACTGTTAAATTTATTTCATTTAATCAAACTTTTTATTACTCATCAATATGAGTATCAAAATAATGGATTCAAATAATATAATATTTTTTTTAAAGATTTTATAATAATTTGTCTTGCTAATTAGAATTTCTAATTTTGTAGGNTGCAGTTGCATCATAAACAAATACAGGCAGATATTATACAAGATGTAGATTAGGACGTTTTAATTGGAATGGATCTACAAATACTTGTAATCCTTGAAAATTAACAATAAATTTCTATCTAATTTATCATTTTAATTAATTTTACATATTCTCATAGATTTTGCTATATTTTAGATATATCAAAATAATAAATAATTATATTTCTATAACAAATATTAAGAATCTATTAAAAATAATATTTGTTTAATGTTTTTTCCTTTATCATTTAATTATAAAAATATTAATTTCTATATAAATTTGTTTGAGACATGGTTATTTATTAAAATATTTATATTAATTTGATTTAAAGGATGATAAACTTTTCTATTTGATTTCTAATTATTTATTGAATAAATTTAAATTTTGATTATATTGTATTGATATTATTATGATTTCTTCTAGAATAATATATATTATCTTTTGATTATTTGGATGTTTAAGAAATTTCTAAAATATTAAAATTTTTACTTGATATTTCGTTTAAACGAATGATAAAAACAATTAATTATACTCTTACATTAAATTCAACATAACAATATTAAATATAATTAATTAAATGATATGTCTTTCTGAAAGGCAATTATAGAAAATCACAATTCATTCAAATAGACCATTCATTCAACTTCCATTAATATCTAAATCAAATGAAACACTTGTAATCATTCTTTAAATTAAGACTTAAGCGATTAAATAATAAAGCTATGTTATCTGAAAGAAATAAAAATTAAACAACAAACTAATCATCTGAAAAAGATGTATATTGTCTTAAATTACCTAAAATACATCAAAAGACTCCAGAAAAAATAGATACTCATTATAAATTAACACATTCTTAAGTATAATCATAAAAAATGTAAATTATTTACTTATTTTGAGACTCTAAAATGATCAATCATTTGATAATTTAAAAAAATATAATAAATAAATAAAAGATATTTAATAAAGACATAATCGATTTCTTAACAAAATAGAAGAGTTATATATGATTACCAAATAGCCATAATGAAAACTGTTTTCGTTCTAATTTTGATTAATTAATTGAAAACTTATAAACTGTTAAATTTATTTCATTTAATCAAACTTTTTATTACTCATCAATATGAGTATCAAAATAATGGATTCAAATAATATAATATTTTTTTTAAAGATTTTATAATAATTTGTCTTGCTAATTAGAATTTCTAATTTTGTAGGATAATTATAATACAATAATTTAAGATATTAAATTATTTATTATTTTGTCAATATATAAATTATAATATATCATAGATATTCCTTCTTGTTTTAGTATTAGTGTAATATTTATAAATTATAATATTAAATTTAATAAATGAATAAATACACACTTTCTTTTAGATGTGAAAAATTGGAATAAAAGTATCAGCTCAATTCTTCATATTTTCTACAGTAAATTTAATTTTAATATAAACTAATAGTATTTTTATCCATAATAAAAATAGATGGGTAGATTATTATTTGTTAATAATAAATCATTTTATGATGTTACAACAATAATATATAGAGGAAGGATTTGAAAAATAGGAGGCATTTGTATTTGTATAGAATTAAATGTTATTACATATCATATTCTTGTTTCTCAATTTAAATTTGGTTCAATTTAGATTTTGGGAAATATTATAATAAAGATAGTGCTGTCGAAATATTATTAGCCATCATTACCCTATTAAAGTATAATTTATTCTATTGTATTTGGATTAATTTTTCTCTATTCCATGTTTAAAATAAATTAATAATATAGATTATCATTCTTATTCACAACATAAGATAGTTAATAAGGTATTTAATAGTAGATAATTAAATTTTAGAATAATTAATACCTTTATTAAACGATAGTCCTTTTGTATTATGTACATATAATAAAGATAATTTGTATTAGTAATAAAAATTCAGTAATCTCTTACATCATTAAAAATTTTAATAAATCTACTCTGAATTTTGTCCTTAGAAATTATTCTGTATAATAAAATCTTAGAAGTAAAATCAAACCATAATAATAATGATATATCAAAATTATTTATTCGCTATTCAGAATGTTACATAACAGAATTAATTTATATTTTGATAATTTATAAGAAGAGATTAAGAATTCAAAAATTAAATTAAAAACTAGTTTATTATGAATAAGGATTAAATAAATTCTTAATCCAATTTAGAAATTTCTTAAAATAATAAATTTTAATCTTAGATAAATCATTAAATAATTTAAAATTCAATATATTAAACTATCATTAAATTAAAAAACATATTTTCAAAGATCAAGAATAAAAAATCATGTAAAATTACAAATCAATCATTTTTATAATGTTTTAAAAAATATGCAAAATTATATTCATAAGCCTATGATAAAAAAGAATCAAGATTGAATTTTGTTAATATATAAAAGAAATTTACACCATCGAGAATTCTTTAGAGGAATTTATGATTAACTTCATTTATTGTCTCTTTAAAATTAAAACAGATATAATATTAATATATCTTTTTCAATCATTTGTTTAATAAAATGAATACATTGATATCATTATAAAAGTAGATTTTATTTCAGAATTATATATTTTATTGTAAAAGTGTATTATGTAATAATTATATGATTTATTAGACTCATTTTAGTAGAATTCTAAAGACAATAAGTCCTCATGATTATAAATAATTATCTATCATAATAATTATATGTAATCTTAAATGATGACAGTAATTTTATATAAGATTTTTAGGTTTGATAGTTCTTCTGTATAAAATATGAATGAAATTAATCAATTAAGTTCATTTTTAATTAAACCAGAGTAACTTAAAAAAACAACATGATTATTGATATTCTTATTTTCAATTACTTTTATATTATAAAATTAATTATGGTATCGATATGGAAAATCACATAAATTGAAATAAATATTTAATTAAAATGAAAATCAATGATCCTTTATTGGAATAGAGAGATATCTAAATCCATAAAGATGATTGGCTTTATACAAGAATTTCCAAAATGATTAGATTGATTAACAATAAAAGAGAATAACTCTAAAATAATTCATTGTAGGAATATTGTGTTAAAATAACTGATTCAAATTATATCTTAAAGCATTATAATAAGTAAATATATTGATATAATTTTTAGTATTGATTCAACAAATGTTTACAAAAAAATGAAACAAATTTTAGTAAAGAATTTTTTTATTTTTAGATAACAAACTCAATTTTTATTTTTATCCAATAAGTTATTGCATCTATATTATAATTAGCAAATATTTTGATGTTAGATTTATTTACTGATTCTCTAAAAGAAGAAAATTATTATTATGTTCTTTTTTTGATTTTACTACTCATATTTTCCTTTACTAAGTATTTATATTAGTTAATAAATGCATAGAACATATTTAATTTCAATTCAAACACATTAAATAACCTAATTTTTAGGAAAGTTAGATGTATTATGTAATTATGAATTATACAAAAAATTACTTGCAACCCATCAATATTAAAAAGATTAAAATATCCCAAATATAAATGTAAGTATCTCTAATAATTGTATTTAGACATTAATAACAAATGATTTAGAATAGATTAAATAATTACATTTTTCTTTAAAAGAAGGAACTTTAGCTAGTTGCATGCTTATAGGATGCATATCATTCTTATATTATAAAGATGTACATGCAGGCAATGTAATTTTAATAGTAATTGTATGTGCTTAAGTGTTTAATTTTATTGTAACTTTTATAATGATGCAAGCATAAGAACGTTTATTTTATAGAAAAGATTAGAGAATTAATTTGACAACAGATGTATTACATGGCATTAAATAAATAAAATATCTTTCATGGGAATAAATATTTAGTAATAAAATAATATTTAAGAGGAAAATGGAATTTTAAATGCTTATAGTAGTTAAAATATTTGATGGTCTTTTAGTTTTATTTTGGAATAATATAAATTATATATTACTTTACTTTTATATCTAAAATAGTAAAATTAATTTAATAGATTTGAATGTTTTCACATTGATTGCTATATTCAATTCAATGATGTATGAAATCTATAAAATATTTTAGTTATCCTTTAGGTATTTTACCATTTTGTATCAATTTCTTACTTAGTGCTATTGTATCAATAAAAAGAGTTAATACTTATTTTAATTAAATGGATGTAGTAGATATAAAGGGGAATTAAATATTTGGAAATAATGAAATTATATTAAAAATTGAAGAAGGAATCTATAAATTAAGTGATAACTTTAGTTTAAGAATTAATAATTTATAAATAAAGAAACAAACTCTTAATTTTATAGTTGGTCCAATTGGATCAGGTAAGAGTACTCTTTTTAATGTAATATTAAATGAATTGTAAGATATAAAAGAGAAATCAAAATAGATAGGAGGAACTATTTCATTTTGTTCATAAAATAGTTGGATTTAAAATTAAACAATTAGATAAAATATATGTTTTGGTTAAGAATATAATTAATAATAATTTACAAAAGTTGTTGAATTATGTTAATTAAATGAAGATATATAGAAATTTGAGAATTTTGATTAGTATTTAGTAGGTCCTGATGGAAATAATTTAAGTGGTGGTTAAAAATAAAGAATAGCATTAGCAAGAGCTATATATTAAAATTCAGATATTTATTTATTTGATGATGTATTTTCATCTCTTGATATACCTGTTGCAGATTCTATATTTTAGAATCTTATTATAAATTATTTAAGTAATAAAACAGTACTATTTATAACATCTAATTAACATTTTATAAATAAAATTCCTAAAAATGCCAATATAATTTTAATGGATTAAGGATCAATTATTGAATAAAATACTAATGATTCATCTATAATTAGAAAAATGAGTAAAAAATCTGATGATTTAAATAATGATGAAGAATAAGTAGGAAATAAAGATGAAAATAATGATTAAGGTTAAGATTTAGAAGAAAGAGAGACAGGAGAAGTGGATACTAAAGTATGGTTATATTATTTCTCATCAATGGCATGGCCATTAATTATATTATATTTGATATTCAATTTCTCTTTATAAGGTGCTTTGTCATATATTGATTTTTGGTTAAAGAATGAACATTTTGATAATAATTTCTCTTCTAAATTCACATAACTCTTATTATTAGCATTAGGTGTTACACTATTTAGAGCAACATTTTATGTCTTAGTATCACTAAAATCTTCATGGACTATTTTTAAATAATTGAATGATTCAATAATGAGAGCAAAAATGGTATTTTTTGATAAAACTAATGCTGGAAGAATTATTAATAGATTATCAGGTGATATGGAAACTATTGATGGTTTATTACCATGGAGTTTTGATATATTTTTAGAAGCTTTAGCTAGAGGAAGTGGATTTGTTATTGGACTAATTATTTTATTTCCTTACATTAGTATAGGATTAATTGGAGTTTTCTATGCTTATTATTATATTGCAAATACATATATTAAAACTAATAGGGAATTAAAAAGATTAAAATAAGTTAATCATGCTGAATTATTAGGATGGATAAATGAAACATAAAAAGGATTAAAAATTATTAGAGCATAATAAAAATAAACTTATTTCTTTGATTATTATTTAGATAAATTGCATACATGGAATGCATGTGAATAAAGTAGTTTAAGAGCTAAATTTTGGTACTTTGTAAGATTGAACTTAAATTGTAATTTATTATTATTATTATCTACTTTTGTTATTTTATTAAGTACTGAAAATTATGGTAGTAAAGCTTTAGCATTGACTTATTCCATTTTAATTATTGATAATTTTAATGACTTATTTAATTTTTATTTATAAACTGAACAGATGATTATATCTGTTGAAAGAGTTAGATAATATTCTAAAATACCTTAAGAAGATATACATAAGAAAAACACTTTAATTAAAGTTATTAATTTTGATGATTCATGTGATCTAACAGTTAAACCTATTATAGATTTAGATACTGAAATTGAATTTAAAGAAATATGTCTTTCATATGATTAAATTAATTATTAACTAAAATCTCTTAATTTAAAAATTAAGAAAAATGAAAAAATAGCAATAGTAGGTAGAACTGGATCAGGTAAAACATCAATTATGAATGTTCTTTTTTAACTCTATTAATAATAAACAGGAAATTTATTTATTAAAGGACAAGATGTATTTATCAATATTTAAATAGGCTCAATATTTATCATTATAAGAATTACGTTCTTAATTATCTATAGTACCTTAATTTGGATTTCTTTTTGAAGGTTCTTTATATGAGAATTTGGATCCTGGATAAACTATAGATAAATAATAAATAGATCAATTATTGACTTAGTTCAATTAACTAAAACCTGATATAACTATTGAATAAGGTGGTAATAATTTATCAAATGGAGAAAAATAATTGATAAATTATTTAAGAATAGTCTTATAAAATAAGTCTATTATATGTTTAGATGAAGCTACTTCAAATATTGATCCTCAAACTGATAAAGTAATATTGTTATAATGATTAGCTACTCCATGAATATCTGTTTAAATTTACTGAGAATAAAACCCTTATTGTTATAACACATAGATTAGATCACTTAGACAAATATAATAGAGTAATATATTTGGATAAAGGAAAAATTTAAAAGATATAATGAATTGTAATATCAAATAACATATTTATGTAATTATTTCAATTTATATCGAAAAATAATTAAATAAAAATAAAAAATTCAAATCTTAATTTTTAAGTATAAATCAATAAAATTGTAAACTAAAAGATAAGATAATGATTCTAATCTCTAAAATATTTAAAGGTTGATTATAATGCAGTTAATGTTATAGTTAATTTTAAATATCTTAAAAATAACAATAATGCAAACTTAATAAAATAGGCTAATAAAAGAAGAAGTAAAATATTAATTGAATAAACTTTTAGAAGATATTATTAGCATATTTAAAAGTGTAAAGTAGCTATTTAAGTTAATATATTAAATTAGAAATGAGATATTTGATAAAAAACAAAAGATTAAATTGTAAATCGTGATTACTTCAATAATTATAATATAGATTGATATAAATGAATAAGTTCTAGTATTTTTAAGATTCTATTAATAATATTATTGTTGTTTAATAATTAATTTTTATAGATAATATAAATTGTATTAATGATTTAATAAATAAAGTATATGTAATTAGAAACAGAGTTGACCGAATATGATGTCTCACCAAATTAATCATAAAATTCTCCTAAAAAAGAATATAAATAGAAACCAACTAAAATTGGAGAGAAATGCAAAGCCATACTTATGGTTGTATTTTATCTTGGTACATTGTTCACATTTAATGGGGAAAATATTTTTTTTATTGGAATTTATATGTTGATGCTCATAAATAATAGAAAACATTTATTTGATTTAGTTTTAACAATTTTAGCTATAACTTTAAGTATTGCTAATCTATTTGTTGAGTATAATTTATTAGGGATTTCTTAAATAATTATGAGTTTTGATATTTTAACATTTTCTTTTTCATAAAGAATGATAAGAGAAATTAAATTGGTTTGGTCTGAAATAAAAAATTTGGCAATTACTATGTTTTTTGTTTTATGTTTATGTGCTTATTCAACTACTGCCTATTATGATGATTCTGAAGATGATGAGATTGAAATATTTTATGGGACATTTGGTAGGTCAGTGCTTACATTTGTATAGGCTCTAAGTTTAGATGATTGGGCTTAAATAGGAAGAGAATCAGATGATTTATTTGGATATTTTATATTGTGTATATATATTCTACTTATGACATATTTCTATTTAAATATAATGATGGGTATATTGATAGAAACACTATAATTTGAGAAAAAAGGTAATCATTTAGATGATCCATTTAATTATGAAATTAATTAATAATAAATATTATCTGAATTAGTTAAAGATTAGAATTTATTTGATAAATGTATAATTGGTAATTATTATGAATATATTGTATTCATAATAAGTTTTGGAGCAATATTTATATCAATACTTGAACATTTTGATCATGGTGATAGTACAATAGAATTAATAATAGAATTAATAGATGATGGATTATATACAATACATTTTATAATATTAATATTAAAGAAGGGTCCAATTTATGATTTAGAAAGAAAAAATAAAACTGTAATGTTTTTACATTTCATAGCTGGGTATATATTTAATAATTTATTTATATTTAGTCCTTTATCTTTAATTTGTTCATTTATTTTTCTTGAAATTGGTTGTCTATTGAATTTACTAAAAATTGCCACTACTCCATCTGTAAAAGGAATCTTTGTAGGAACTGTAGCCATGGTGCCTTTATTGATGCCATAATTTGCAGAATTATTTGGAATTATAATGTTTATTGCTAGCATTTTAACTTCTAATTATTATGCATATACAGGATTAAAATAATAGGAGTATTTTTCATCTTTTTGGGGTTCTTTTTATACTCTTGTTTAAATCATGACTTTAGATGGTATTATTTTATAATAAAAAGATTGGGGAAATATAGTAGAACCAATGTATTCAAAGCATGGATTTATATTACCATACATTTTGATACCTGCATATATATTTTTAAGTAATTTTATCATTTTAAATACTTTAATTGCATTGAGTTGTGAATATTTTGTGGAAGTCAAATATTATTCTATTGAAAAAGATTAAAATGATGTTAGAAGTTCTCAATTTGTTGGTATCAATGAATTGAAGAATTATTGTAAATAAAATTAAAGTAATTTATAGTATCATCATACTTAAGTGCACTTTAATCTCCCCAATGTGGTCGTTAATCATCATGATGAATTAAGTTCCAAAATTAAATCAGACACCATAATTTAAATTTAATATGGGAATCTTTAATTTACTGCTCAGGTAATATAATAATCTGATGCATTATGATTTAAATAAAGATTATTTGAGGCTAACTTATATATTAAATTAAATACATTTTATAAAAATGCAAACCTATTACAAATTGGCATTTTAAACTCTAAAAAATTTTTGTGATCTCTAAATCATTAGTGATGTAGAGAAAACCTATATGAAAGAGTACATCCTTAATTAGAATGTACATCCTGATATAGAGTTAAATTTGGACTAAATTTCCAAGTTCATTCTATAAAAGCTTATGAAATTAAGACAATCTGATAAGAAAAAAGATAGTAAATAAGATAGTTTAATTTCTATCGAAGAGGAAACTGATGAAGATGACCTTAAATGAATAAGAATTTCTCAAAATTAACAACTTATGGAACTACTTTGATTTTTATATATTTAACAAATTTTCATTATTACACTATTAATTAAATATTTTTGATTTTGTATTTCGAAAATTCTGATTTCTAAGGATTTCTCATTTAATTAGTAATTCATATATATATATGTTTAATTAAGTCTAATACTCTTATAAATATAGTTTATATATAAAATAAAGAAAAATTTTAGCAAAAATAATTAATGAAATTAATACAATATTTAATCATTAATATGAGAATGATGTGTTCGATTATTATTCAATAAAAAATTTGTTTAAATCCTAAATTTATTTCGTTTTTTCTTTCATTAATTTTAATATTACAAATTAAGATGTTTATTCTTAACATGTTCAAAAGTCTTTTGAGTTCTTTAGGACTCTATAAGAAGAATGCAAAAATATTGTTTTTAGGGTAATTAGAAAATTCTAATATTTTTATAGACTCGATAATGCAGGAAAGACAACTCTATTGAGAAGATTGAAAGATGATAGAATGGTTTAACATGATCCTACATTACATCCACATGCAGAAGAGCTTGTTTTAGGAAATGTTAGATTCAAGGCATTTGATTTGGGAGGTCATTAAGCAGTTAGAAAGACTTGGAAGAATTATTTCCCTACAGTTGATGGAATCATCTATCTTGTTGATTCAGCAGATTCATAAAGATTGAAGGAAAGTAGAGATGAGTTAGAATAAATATTAAATACAGCAGAATTAGCAAAGGTATAAAAATTCTATATATATTTTTAATTAGGTCCCAATAGTAATTTTGGGAAATAAAATTGATAAACCAGGAGCAGTGCCAGAAGAAGAATTGAGATAAGCATTAGGAATAAATGTTAAACAGCAAATTAATAATAAAAATATTAAGGAAATTGATGGAAGACCAGTTGATGTATTTATGTGTAGTGTAGCAAACAGAGTAGGCTATGCTGAAGGTTTTAGATGGTTATCATAATTTTTAAATTGAAATTTATTATTAGTATATGTATTTTTCTTTTCATAAAAAACCTTAAATTAGAATTTTAAATTATTGATAAATTAAATCAATTAGTAAAATATATTATAGTAAATCAGTATTTAGATTTCATTATTTTTTTAAAGTTTGGTATTCTCTTTTTATTTTGACAATCATTACATTTACAAAGAGATGAACATTTTTTATTTCTGATAAAACATTCACAATAGTTTTTTTTACATTATGATTTCTTACATTGACATCCCCAGATAGTTGTCTTATCAAATAAATCATCATCATTTTTAAGTCTTTATTACTTTATTTTTACTTTCTCTAAAGCTTATTTTCTGATTTAAGAATAATCTTAATTATTATGACAATCATAACATTAACACTTTTCAGAACATTCAATGTTTTTATGGAAACAAGTACAATACAATAATAAACAATGTGATTTATTGCATTTACAAGGTGAATTACTTTATTAGTTATCATTTACATCATAATCAAAAAATTCCTAACATAGTTTTATACAAATACTTACATTATAATTGGTTGTTTTTCTATTTCTCTTTTCCTTTACATTGTTTTTCTAATTATTTGTATTAATTAATTCAAATTGCTAGAAACTGGTTGTTTAATGTTTTTCTTCATCTTAATTACTATTTATAGAAATTCCAAATTCTTGTTCCTAATCATAATTATTTGTGTTCTACAACTTTTCATTAATAAAGAAGTCTTATTCTGAGAAATTACTCCTATATTTATAGTATTTGATGATTATTACCTATATTTTTATAAGGCTGGTGGTGGAATGTTATCGAAATATTGATCTAGTTCATATTCATTAAATTAATTTTAGAAGACAGCAGTAACATCTGAATGTTTTCTTAATTGTGGTTCTTAATTGATTGAAGACATCAGTAAATTAAAAATATTTAATAATGATGATAAAATGACTTTAAATATAATATAAATAATTTAAATTCTTTAACAATCTATTCTCAATCTAATCCATATTATTTTTATTTAATTGTTTTGAAATTCAAAAGAAAGATATAAATTTCTATTTGTATTTTTAATTGCAATCATTTAAATTATTATCAAATAAAAATTTTATCGCCTCATAAAAATTCGTAAATTTACCCTATTATATATTAGAAATTTTAATAGATCTTAGATCTCAAGCTTTCTTCTTATTTGGGTTAATTTGTTAATCATTGATACACTTTATTACTTTTTGAGTGGAATTACTCTTATAATACGACATTAATAATTAAATTCTAATATTAACATGGGATCATCTTGTAAATCAATAAAAAATGTAAAAGAATCCAATGATTTTGATATTCCAGAATAAGAAGGACCTATTCGTACAGTTGGTGATGAGCCAATTCCAAAGAAACCTTATTGTTGTCTCTCAAATGAATTAACTGAATAATCTGATAATTTTGGTGAAATTGAAATCACAAAACACACAGGTATGCCTTAAAATCAAATTTTCCATAATTCTATTATCTACTCAAGAGAAATTGTTCGTTCAGAGTAATTCTAATAAAATCGAAAGCACCGTCCAAAAAAGAGATTAAATAAAGTTAGTCCAAATACTGAAACACATTATGAAAAACAAATATACAAACAATTAAGGATGAATATTTTATCACCGGATGGAATTATTAGAAAAATATATTGAAACAAAATAATATTGTTTGTGAATGAAAATTTTTGTCTTTCTAATATTTTATGAGAAAATATTAATTCAAAACAAATGATTAACTACATAATAAATTACCAGTAGAAGAGAAAAAGTATTATAATAATTTTTAATATACTTTCTATTTCCTAAAATTGTGATCTTTTTGTTGTAGATATCATTTATGTATCCTTCCTTTCTCTTTTTCATAATAGCAAAATAGCCATTATTTAATTCATATGTTTTGTGTTATATAATAATTCTATTTTTTTCTATTTTTATCGATATTACATCAATTTTCATAAATTGAACTTGATAATATGATTTATACATTATAGAAATAGGTTTTAAACTTATCTTATAATTGTAAGACAAGTATATTTGTAATCATTTTCTATAAAATTAGAATATTATCATAAATTATGAATTTTAAATATTTTATCGGGGTAGTATTTATAATTTTTTAATTTTTTATACAAATCGATTACTCTTTTTATTGTAATAGAATGGTATTTTTATGATCATATAATTAGAAGTGATTAACATCATTAAACCTTATGTTATTGAAAATTTAATTAAAGTAATTTGTGGTTATTCATAAATATTAATTATTTATTTAATTTTTAATGATAAAGCTGCATTTTTGATAATAATTATAAAACTTTGAATAATCATACTCTAATTTTTGATTACTTTATTATTTTAATATGGATATTCTATTATTTAACATGAAGAGATATTTGAGTTATCATTAATAACAATTTTTTATTTGAATGTAAATAATTATGTATTTGAAATAATACGCATGATTCTTTTAATCAAAGTATTTTCTTCTAAATCTCTATTCAAAAAATTATTAAAATAGTATGAAATCTATTCAATAACTGTATTTACAAGCTGTATTAAAGCAATAAGAATTAGAAAAAATCAAATAAGAGGAATAGGTTCAAAGATAAAATCAAGAAGTAAATTAATTTAAAATAATATATAGATAATCAAATAGTAGCAGCTACTCTCTCTTGTCTTATAACCTGGTTTAAATACTAATGATAAGTAAGAAGTTTTAATATCTGTTGTAGATAAAGTTGGTCTTTAATTGATATTTAAAACAGAATAACATAATATTACTAACAATAAGTTTTAAGGAAAGAAATAGTTATCATTAGAAATTAAATTGAAATTCATTTACCTTATTTCCTTAATGTATTAGGAAATTTGATTATTCATGGTTTGGATTCAATAAAAGGATAAGAAAATTATATTGGAATTCTAAAATCCTAATTTATAAATTAACCAATGAATATAACTATGAGTAATTCATTGTTCAAAACTCTCTCACTTTTATTTAGATCATCCTTAGTTTAGTTTGATAAAGGTAATCTTATTAATTTATTATTAGATTCATTATAAGATAGTAGATGTGTAAATATGAAATATTTTTCTTAATTCTTATTATTTAGAGATGACTTTTGTGATATATTTTTTAATTCTCTCTATTAATATTAGATATCTACAAATAAACAGGTGAGTTAATAGTTAAGCTTCTATTAATTGTATTAATTGATAACAAAAAACTCAGAAGATATTTGGACTACATTCATATATAAATTATTGAGTCAATAGTAATAACAATTAACAAAAGATCAATTTTTTGTTTAATTTAATCATTATACATTTCTGATCAATAATTTCTTTAAGAAATCTAATCTTATCTTTAATATAGTTGAAAATACTGTAAAATAGACAGCTTAATTACATAACGACTCAATTTTTTAAGAAGTATAATTGTTATTTAATTTAGTATCTATTAATAATGGGCAGTTTCAAAGCAACAACCTAAGATTTTTTGAAAAAAGCAACTTCTATATTTTTTGATGATAATAATACTTTTATTGAATTACCAGAATTTATAATAAAAACAAAAAAAATACATAATTAATTGAATAGTTCTATCTTATATATTTTACCTATGATATTTTAATTGGAAAGTCAAATGATTGATATTATCTAAGTAAATGAGAAATAAGAAATCAAACCATTAAAAAATAGTTCCAATTATTATTTAAAGATGATAGAAAGATTGAAAAATAAATGTGTATATAATGGAGAAGAAAATTGTAATTGTAAGAAATGCTAATGCATCAGAAGAAATAGAAATTCTGCTAATGAAGCATAAAGAAAAAAGAGGGAAGCACTTGAAAAGATAGGTCCATTATAAGATGCTTTTGAAGAATTAAGAAAAAAGGCTAAAGTAGTATAAAATGAGAATGAAAATCTTAGATAATTACTTACTAATGTATTTTAACATCCATAAGTATCAAAATTGGCTTCAACTTTTATAGAACCTCTCACAAAAATAATATCAGATAATGATTGTGGATTTGATTCATATGAATGTTGATTTTATTTAATTTATATAAACTATTTATAATTAATAAATGAATTATATTATATAACTTATTTTATATGAAATAGAATGATGTTTTTACAAAACGAGAAACACTTCGACCAATCAATACATTGACTTGTTTTGATTCAGCTCATACAAATTCTTTATATATTCTAAAAATGAAAGAGTTGACAGGAATCTATAAATAAGAAAGTGAATTACTCTAAGATGATCTTTCTCATATGAATCAATTAATTAATTCATAAAGTTAAGATATTCAAAATGAAATTGAACCTTAAATTCTTTAACTTAAATAGATGCTATAAAAATAGGTTATTGAATATAATCAAGAAATGGATGATTAGATTGTATAATTAGAAAATATTAGAAATGATAATTTAGATTTAGAAAAATAAATATATAAATTGCAATAACGTTTAACTTAATTGGATGATCATATTGGATAATAGGTATTATAAAGAAAGTACGATATCAAATTTTAATGATTTATAAATGCATAATATATATATAATTAAATCTAATTATACTAATATTTATGATTATTCTAATTAATATATTTATTAATAATTAGTATATATTTATATTGAATATAATAATAGAGATTAAATTAATATAATTATTTATAATTTTAATACTTTCATTCTTTATCAAATTATTAATAATCTTAATAATAATCTTAATGATAATCTTAATTGTAATCTTAATGATAATCTTATTTTCCATATTATTTTCTTTAACGAGTTTTTGATATTTAGAATTAAGGTTTTTCTTTATCATTTTTATCATATGTTTTTAATGTACTATAATCTACTTTGGTTATATCAACTTTAATTGGTATGCCTATAATTATAAATAGAAGTAATACCTAAATTGATAAGATATTTAGCTCTGTCTTCATGAGTTTATAATTTTAAGAATTATTTAAAATTAATAACAATAACTTATTTTGTAGTGATTGACAACAATTTCTTTTACAAAAGTCCTAATCCATTCAAAGTTGTTTAATCAAAGTTTAATGAACTTTAACCAGCTATAAAGATAGATGATTCACTTAATTTATAGTATAGGATAATTACATTGAAGGTAAGTAGAATTCAACATTAATACCATCAATACTCTTATTAGTCTCTAATTCAACACCTAATAAATTTAGATATTGAACACAGAATTCATGTATAAAAAATTGCTTAGAATTAGGATTAGCAATTTAATATCTTGCTTTTGAGAATTTCTCATCATTAAAGTAGTTTTCATGAATTTTAGTAGTAATAGAATTTGGATATTTTCTTAATAATATTTCATAAGTATAAGCAGTCTTAAAATTATCTTTGTATTTAGTATCATTTATGTTTTGTGCAATTTTATCCATAATTTCAATAGGTTGATCTGCTAAGACATAATATTACAATAATTTGAGTGCAGTACCACCTGAAATTTATGTATTCTCTAATATTATAGAATTAATAAGATCAACGAATTCTTATTCAATAAATCCTAGACTAGTAACAATATCAATAATATCATAATAAAAGTTTTAATATGTTGATGATTATTATTTAATCTTTTCTAGAGATCTTTTAAATAGATCAGTTTATTTAAGTTTAGCTTAAGAACAGATATTTAATATCTAAATTCTTTATTCATTAAAAATAGAATTAAATGAATATCCATAAGTTTCAACAAGAACATTGTAAACCATATAAGATTATATTTAAAATTTTGAAAATTTATCAATAGCTCTTATAATTCTATTGATTCCTAATTTAGCAGACAATTCACCAAATGAATATGATAACTCTTTTAAAATTGAATGATCTTTAGCAAACATAATTAGATCAAAATATTATTTAGTAGATAATTAAGGCAATAATTTTTATAGTTTTGTTTTGATATTAATAAATTCTTCAGATGTAAAATCACCTAATGTTATCAATTCTAATATTGGTTAATATTTAACTTCTTATTCTAAAGCTTTGTAACAATCCACTTTAATTTTATCTCTTAATTCAATTATATGTTCAGGAATGTTTTCAGCTAATTATGCAATACCACATAATTATATTTTTGTATGTTAATGAATCTTTTCATTACTTAATTAAGTAGCAGCTTCTTCAGGAGTCAATATATTATGATTTATAAGTAAATTAACAAATAATGGATCTGGATATGGAGAACAAGGATAATTCTTTTTGAATTATTCTGAAATCTTTTTAATTGCATTACTAACATATTTACTATGATATCCTACAATCTCAAATCTATTTGCAAAATTCACAATTGAATATAATTTTTATTCAGGTTATGCTTAATAAGCAACAACCAATAATTTAGTAACAGATAAAATTTGATCACTTTTAATAAATTCTATTAATTTATGTGTATTAAGTGTCAAATAATCAACAAATTTTTAAATTGGAATACTTTTTGGATCCTTTAATAAAATTGAAATAAGTGCAGAAAATGATTCAGTTTCAAATTGATCTACTTCTTAAACTAATCTTTACATAATTTATTTTAGATTTATTTTAGTATCTTATTAATCATATAAAGAAATAAGAGCATTTCTACATTTAATATTACAACAACAATTAATTAATTCTCTACAAATTCTAAGAAAATCAAATTTTTGTTATTTTACTAATTCAATTAATTTTAAATAGGCTTCTTCTTAAAGTTGATATTTGATTTAAAAATTGAGTTCATTGTCATTTAATGTTTTTAAAGCTTACAATGGATAATTTTCAATTTAATCTCTAATTACTTTAATAAGAGTATCCAAATGTTCTTTAGCATCTCTATTAGCATAAACTACATAATAAATAGCCTAATTGAAAGGAATCTTTTTAGATTCTGTATTTAACATAAATTTATCCACATATTCTTTCATATTAATACCATTAATAAATAAATAATTCAAAACTTTAATTGTTTTATCTTCTATCTTTAAAAAAGCTTAAATAACTTCATCTATTTTTCTATATTTCATTAAAACTAATATCAATTAATTCATTAAAAGAATATCAATAGTATTATTAGAAATTCTGTTACACAATTCTAAAAGTACTTTTTTGATTGCATCCTAAGGAATTCTATAATTAGTCATCTTAATCATTCTTTCTGCAATTTAAATTAAAAATTTATTAGATAAATTTGATGGATTCTATTCTAATGTAGTTAATATCATATCTCTTAATTCTCTTAAAAGATCAATATCAAATTATCTTGGTAAATATTCATAAGCCTTAAAAATATTAATAACTGATTCTTCTTATAATAATTCAACTTTATCTAATAATTAATCCTTTATCTTTTTCACTTAAACTGGTAATTAAAATTTTGGAGGAAGATTTTAAAATTGTACTTCAGCACAAACTTTAAATAATAAGGATTTCTATATTAATTATATTATAATATACTTATTCAATATCAAAGCTATCTAATAGAGTATCTAAAAGTTTGATAGAATTGGTGAGGATTACTTAATCATATTTAGAGAGATTGCAATGATTTATTTTAATAACTACAGTACTCAACAATTAAGTTATGAGGAATGGAGACATTTATTTAGATGTAAGCATTTATTCTGATATAGATTTAACTAAATTCTCATTATAATGGTTTAGTATTGATAAATCATAGTAAATATTACACATGTTTCTAAATGAAAACATTTAATTATCAAACATCTATTAAACTCGCTAAAATAACTATGTTTGGGTTTGATTAGTGATATTAGTTGGAATTCTATTTAATCGAAATTTTCTTAACCAAAATAATACATCAACAACATCTTTATTATAGTAAAAATTAAATACCATATTCTGTTAATTGATTAACAATATCATTTAATTTACTTGTTAATTCAGAAAAGTTATTGTCTGAATTAATCTAACGACTAAATCTGCCAAGTACTCTTAATGTTAATATTACATGTTCATGTTTAAATTAATCTTTGTTTTCTTCATATAATCGTAAGAGACTATTTGGATTCTCAACACTACTCAATTTTTAAACTAATGATTCATATGTAGCAAACCCAAATGTTATTACTCTATTCATCCAGAATTAAATAATTTAATTTGATTTATAAAATCTCAAACTACAAAAATCAATGTCATTTATGATTATTTCAATGATATCAATGGTTTCATATTTTATTTAAGAGTCTTTTTCTCTAAATGATGTATCTATTGATAAACTATTTTTTTATCTTCTCTCTCTCCATAACCATCAAATATTAAACTATCATTTTCTTATTTATATGTTAATTATAAATTTTTTATATTATTATCCCATTCTAAAATAATCTAATAATAATTTTTAGTATTATCATTTATTATTTTCGACTATTAATTTATCAATTATTTACTTTTAAATTAAACAATTATTTCTATCTATATTGTTCTAATTCTCTTTATAATTCTAAGTTATGCTTTTAAACACTTATTGAATTATTTTTTATTTATTCATAATCATTTAAATCTCTTGTTTTCTCTAATTATTATTATACACTAATTCTATTATAAATTTAAATACCTATATTCTAAATTCTTTAATTAATTGTTCAACTTTGTTATTTCATCTTATAATTATTTATTTTCTTGATCTAATGATTAATTTTATTTATATAATTTTTCATATTTATCTTTCCATTCTTAACCTTCCTTTGATAAAATTACCTATCTCTCTAATTCTAATCTAAATAATCTCTTTATTAATATACTTAAGATTCCCTAATTTCAATTTCAATTCAAAATTTTCTTAACAAAGCTATTTGTTTATTATTTGTATATTTGATTCAGAAAGCATCAAAATTAATATAATTAATAATTTAGAATTTAATATACTATAAATATTTATAAACATGAATGATCGCTAAAAACTATTAGAAATTATTATAATTTTGTTAAATATTTGTAAAAACATTCAATTCATTTATTTTATTCATTTACTTATTATTCTAATTATTCTAATTTAAGAAGTGTAAATGACTTTATTGGCATTATTTTTGGTTTACATAGCACTTCTGAAAATTATGGTTTCTCTGAAAACACTTATCCATTCCTTGGAATTATCTCCTTTGCATTCATTATACCGATATTTGATGAATAAATAATTTATATAAAATTAATAATATAATTTATATTTATTATGTTATTATTTTTAATAAACAATTTATATATCATCACTTCTTTTACTTTTTGAAAATTATTATGAAAATTTGAATAAAAATATTGTTAATTACAACAATTCCAATCTTAATATATTTGTAATAATTATCATCTTCTATTTAGTTTACAATATTTACTCTAAATTCTAATTAAGTTATTTAGTTTTTAACAATAAATGTAATATTTTATTCATTATCAATACTAACGTTATCATTTTTAACTAATCTCCATTAATCGATTGTATATATTGTTATAATTTTATATTTAAAATTGTATAAAGCTATATGAGTATTATTTAATTATGAAAAAATTTCTGTATTAAGAAAATGAGCAGCATAAGGATTTAATAATTGGAATCCACTTTGAAGTTCATATAAAAACAATGAAAAGGATTCACAATAGTATAATAAATTATTTTGTATTAAAATGGATTGACATTCTATATTAAAATTTGGAAGTCTAATTATATTATTTAACTTAATTTAATATTCCTAATGTTTTAGAATTATCTAAAAATAAAATAATAATTCTAATTTGTAAAAAACAACAATTTTTAAATCTAGTTCATCTTTTAAAATTTAAGATAAATTTAAAAACCTAAATTAAATGTTTTAAATAAAATTTGGGAGATAATGACATAAATCAATTGAGTTATAGATTTCTGTAGTAGGTATTGTATAGTTTTGGATTTTATATGTTAGTCCTGATTTTATTTAAAAGCAGTGTATGTTAATTTGATTTTTTTGAAAGATTATTTAACTGATTTTGTCAAAATCGATTTAATGATATAAAAAATGTTCTGAAAATTATACTTCTTTTTAAAAAGACTATATTAAAGTAATTGAATCATTAATAAAATAATAATTTGTTTATTTATAAGAAAAAACCATTAATATTTATTATATTAATTTAGTTTCTATTAATACATCTTCTATTAATACAATTGATTCAATATTTTATTTATAATAGGATATTTTTATAAATTTTGATTAGGATTATTATTATATTATTAAAAATCCTTCATTAAATTTATAAATTTACATCTATTAAGTAAATGCTATTGGTAATGTTTAATTTTACTCTAAATCTTTTGTCAAATCTTAAACTATAAAAAATGGTGTTTCTTCAATTATACATAAATTATGAATAAAATAATGGCAGGATTTTCTATTAACAAATCGGAATGGAGTTTAAAGATAATAGAAGGTTGTATTTATCAATTTGAATTCATAGAAATTTCCTTTTACAAAAGTATATGGATTGAATTAAGCAAAATTATTTTACATTATAATCTTTGAATTGGTTTAATTGATAAGTTATAAATCATATTATGAATTGAGAATTAATAAATTTAATTTTTCACTATAAACCTTAGCATTTATATCAGATGAATCATATAAATCTAATTAAAATTATTCTTTTTATACTATTTAATTAAGTTCTTTTTGTTCAATATCAATAGACAAATAATATATGTTATATTCAATTAATTCTTTATTATGATTGTAATAATAAAGGAAACCAGATAAAACATAAAAATATTAATAAGGAGTAGATACTATATCATAATATTCAAAATTGCTTTACTATTCCATATTAAATAATAAAATATGAAATAAATCTTAATCCTAATTTTTAGTTAGAATTATAATAATATTTTCCATAACTTAATAGCATAAAGGTAAAATTGGTATATAATTTGAGAAATTAAAGGTTGAAAGCTTAAGAAATTTTAATTAATTGATTAAATACTTATCCATAATATTCATCTCTTAATTCATTCCTAACAATATTAATTTCATTGGATTTTTTCTTATAAAATATCCTCCTAATAACAAAAGTTTTTAATTAATAACTATTATTTAATTAAGATATAAATACTTATAGTATCACTATTTCCTATTTAAATTTTTATATGTTATTCATATTGGAAAATAAAAATATTATGAAAATTTAGAACTTTGACAGCACCTTATATATGTTCATTTAAATTGCTCTTATCCTAATCAGAATAATAATGCAAAGATTAATTTAAAAATGTATTTTTATTTTCATTTTCGAAAAGTACTTCTGTAGAATTCTCTAATTATAAACTTATTAAATTTCGATATAAAAATGAAATTCTTATCTCCTATTTAAACTAATAAATTTGATATGTTATCATATCTTATTAAATCTCTGATGATTTAAAAATAATTATTTTTTTTAGTGTCTCCTCAACTAAAACAAACTTAATATCTTTTAATACATAATAAATTTTTATTAAATTTAAATTAAGTCTTAAATTTAAATGTTCTAATCTTGAAGTGTTAAAATTATAAATTTTTATATTTTAATCTTCTTGATTAAACATTATATAAATTTGTTATTTAATTTAAAATAAATAAAATTAACCAAACATTTTTAACTATTTTACTTGGCTTAATTTATAATTTTAAGTTTACTCCTTTTTTATTGAAAATATATTAGTAAAATTGAATGAAAAATTAACATCCATATTAAAAAAAATATTGAATTTGTCAATCCATATTTAATTAAAATTTCCATTTATTTAAATCATATAATTTTATTTTTTTAGATTTTACATACTAACTTATAATAATTTATCATTTTTAACATCATCTTCAAAGATATTAAAACATTAAACTAATGTAACATTTAAATTGGCAAGCTTATAAAATCCTAAATATTATCCTTATTTTTAATAGAGCAAATGATTATAAAATAAATTTGCTTTAAATATATGTAATATATTTGATTAATCAACAATTATAAAAATTTGATTGCCTATAAAGAAATTATTTATTTAATTAATCTTAATATTAATTATTTATTATATCTCTTTTGTTATTATAGCTACTACATTGTCAGGATATTATAGTAAAATAATAAAGGAGCCTAAAGTAGCGACTTATTTTAAATCTTAAGTCTATATGTCATTAATTATAGAATTAATATTTTTTTCTGAAATAAATTGATTATAATTTTAACAACTTAAAATTATCAGTAACTTTTATTCTTAAATTTTAAAATATCCAGCTTCTGGATCAAAATCAGAGGATAAAAAAGATAGAGCATTAAATTCAATGTATTCTTGATCAAAAATTAAAAACAACTGATTATAACAATTATGAACATTTTATAAATATTTATAAGAATATATATTTCCTATTTTAATTACTTATTGATTAGTAATCTTTTTTATAAAATTTAGATCTACATCCAAATATAGAATTTCCCAATCTTCACACTAATAAAAGGAAACTAGGATGAATCTATCTTATGGAACATTAAATTTGCTCTTACATTATTTATTTGTGAAAGGAAATTAGTAAGATTATTTATTGCCTATCAAATCAAAAGTGTTTATTATTATATGATCATTAATTGAGCAAAGAATTAAAAATACATCATTTAAAAATATGAAGCTGTTACATTAAAATCCCTCTTCATAGTTGATTATGAATGATAATTCATTTATGTATTTAAATTAAGGTTGATTATCAATATATTTATATGGATTTGCTTATTTACAATTAATTTAGTAATTCTAATTTGCTTAATCCTATAATAGAGAACATATATATTCTTTATCATTAAATTTCAAATATTAGGTTTAAAGTATATAATAAAAAATAGGTGCAAACTAATCTTTATAAATTAAATCAATAAATGTTAAATTCCATTTGTCATTAATTAGCCCATAAAAATCATTAGCATATCTGTAAATTATATTAGTTTCTTTATTAATATCTTGATAGAAATATTAATTTTATTTAAGTTCAATATTTTTACATTCATTTTCAGTAGTTGGATACAAATAATTTAGATTATTTGGAATAAATTATAAAATTTCAGCTTGGATAGTAATGATAAATAATGCAATTA